GGCTATGACGCGATTCAACTTGAAGCATACTGGATTGTTTTAAAAAGATTGGTCAAAACTCCAGCACGTTCAACAATGTGCTTCTGTTTCACTTCAGAAATTTCTTGCCGATATTCATGCCGGAATTATTGAGAAGCAACAGGCTCACGGCTTGCCGTGAATCTACCTCGAACATTCGATGAGGTCGGATTCACAGTTCTACCAACAATTTTCATTTGAAACTAACATACCCATGACCCTAGCAAGAATGTTATCATTTCGGATTTGTCATTACAGTGAAAAATACCTTTGTCAGAGAAAACGGTGGAAGGCTGCGTGTTTCCGTCGTTGCAGGTCAGCAAGCTTCTGCATAATCTAGCCTGTGCTGCTTTTCGGCACTAGAATAAAGTGGTATTTCCGCATAGAATATAGAAGAGGACCTACTTGAAAATCCATCGGAAGCGTGGCAAGGGACGACTCCGATATGTCCATTTCCCTCGCTTCGCAATCTCCTTTGCTGTCGAGACGTTCGCGCGAGTTGCACATCAAATAAGCCCTCACTTCTGAAAGGTATAGAGAATCTTTATGGTATCTCTGTAGAATCAAAGGAATCTGTGAGTCAAAAAGTTTTGCCGAGGAGTTGAAATTTCTCACTCCTAATGATCGAGCACAGTGTACAATAAGAGTCGAATAAGAAGCATTAACAATTAGAAATTGTATCTTGTTGATTGGATGTTATCCGAGTGATAATGGATCACAGCTCATGCAATGTAGTCGAAACGGGAGATAGAGAGTTGCAAAACAAATTAAAGAAAGGCCTATATCAAAAGACGTCCATGATCGACTTTCTTCCAATCTTGGCATGATATATAGCAACTGTGATACTCTAAGCCTCTCAAGATTGAACAATTTATTTGGCCAACGCTTCGGCTGCTTCGCCTTCATCAGGGCCTGAAACAGTGCAAAGCATTTGGGTGGCATGCTCGCCCAAAAGCCTTAACAAAACTCCAACAAAACCTCAAAAAGACCAGCAAACCCCCAAAAATATTGATCGAATAAGGCATGCCTTGCTCACCTTGGAGCCCGCCGCTAAAACAGTAGGACGACCACCCTCGCAATAACTGCTGTTTTAAAATACCAGTAACACCTCCCACTGACCTCATCGTAGATCAAAGGTTACACAGGTCAAGGAAGGGTGCGAGTTCGCGGGTTATTGCTACACACTCCTCCTTCCTGTTCATAAGGGGCTCTTTGGCGGTAATCCAAAACGCTTCCAGGGTCTTTCGCGCAGCGACATCGGGTTCAAGCGTCAATATGGACACGGAGACGTCAAAGGATATACCTGCGTGGAATAAAACCCGATGGGCTCCCAACGGGGTATGCATTCTTGATCCAGCCAGCCCACTTAGATGTTCTTTAACCCTCGCGCACAAAGAGCGACCTGTTTCTCCTATGTACTCGCATCCACAGCTTTGGCAATGAATGGAGTAGATCACACCCACCTTCATGCAATCACCCACTTTGCCATGAGGGCATACCACACAATTAGGAGTGTCACATACANTACCGTAGAGTCGACTACGAACAAGAAGCTTCCGAAGGGTGTTTGGAGGTATTTCGACAATCCGTATATCGTCCTGAAGACCACACCGACGAACAATGGATCGGATAGATCCACTCACTTCCTCGGAAATGAATGGCAAACAAAAAGACGCCTTGTCAGATTGTGTTCTCCCCAGACTGTCGGTGGAGAGAAATACCTACACCGTGTTGACCCCGAGCATCGGTATCCGTTCAATGAGGCTATGCTCTAGGCCATGCGCAACGACTCCTTCTTCAGCTCAGCATCGGAAGAAACTATGCTTGTGACTCTAAGCATATTACTGACCACCGCCTGTTTGGTTTTTTTAAGGTGCGCCGATTGGGAGTGGACAATTATGTTATATCAAAAGAATTTTTAGAGCGAGCTTGTTCAAACAGTGTCTTTGGTGAAGAAGAATGCTAGGATGAGAGGACTCATAGGTATGAAAGCAGCGGAAGGAGCCTCTTTTGGTGGGTATATAAACGTTTTTGAGTGACTCTTATATACAGGCAAATAATGGCATACAATAATACTATTATTCGGCACAGGGATGGAATGTATTGCTTATGCATAAGTGTGGCTTCACAAAAAACGTTACTCAGTAAATCATGATTCTGCGCAATGCAATTGATTCGACGAGCAGAAATCAAAATAGGCTTAGATTTGCTCTTCAGCAGGGGAAATGGCTCCCATCTTGCTCGTTATTCGACAATGAAGTTCAGAAACAGTTTGGGCTAGAAAAGCATTCCTTGTTCACCGAATCCATATAAGTATTCCGTTGGCCTCGATTAGGAGTGTAATCAAGCAGGATGAGAGAATCAACATACCTTGTCCATCACATGTAATGAAACATTTTTCTGGTCACATATGGATTCCATCGCCGTAAAAAAACTGACCCAGGGGACTAATGCGAAACATAGATATCACATTTTTTGGTGATTGTTTTCGAAACAATGCTAGAAAGCGGTGCTCTATGATTTTAATCTGGTCTGTTTTTGTGCATCCTTGCAGAACCTACGTATGTTCTTCCATCTTAGGTCTTCGACTCAGTCAGGTCGAGCGCTATGACTTGGCCATAATTGGATTTGGCCATACCAAACCAGTACGGCAGAGCAGTATATAACATTATGCGAAATGCCCAGGTTTCAGAAGACCGAACGTGGATGTTATTTTGTGTTATATCAAAGCAGCCAATAACCATCTGAAGGGGTTTGGACCGGGTTCAGGGGTAGACCTTGTCATGAGGAAATATTTACTCTTCGTAACATTATAGAGCAGTGCATTAGGAATAGGAGTACACTATTCATCAACTTCGTTGATTTCAGAGGGACATTTGTTAGTATACCGTGTATGACTCTGAAACCTTATGAGAAATTTCAGGATATACGCGATGGCGAAACCTTTTGTTCGCTTATTTGAAAATCTGTATCTCAACTCATTCTCCTGCGAGAAAGACTCATTCTCCTGCTAGACGAATACAGGCTGTACACAAATCTTTGTAATCGTTATGGGCGTGTGGCAAGGCTGTACATTCCGACGATGTTGTTCAACATCCTAAATTTTGTCACAAGGAGAACAATGCAGCAGCAATGGCAGGCGTTAGCTAGTTTAATAGTTGAAAGCCACTGGCCTTAGATCATGCGGATGACATTGCACTCATTACTGAAGACAAGATGAGTTGCAAGCTAGCTTCTTTCAACAAAGAAGCTACTTTATCGGGCTACAGATTAGCGCAAGGAAGTCGTCAGCCATGTGAATCGTCAAACTTTTACGCAGGTGAACATAATGTGGAAAATATATGTAATGTGGAAAATGTCGACTAACACTACTATTCGCTTACCCCAGAAGTGTTGCAACTCAGTGGTGATATCGGAACAGATGTTTGTAGCCTGATTGCAAAGCTACAGTTGTGTTCAGGAGACTCCATCCAATGTGGTCCAATGTATCGTCTGTATCCGAAAATAAGTAAGTGTATGAGTGTAATCAGTGGAGCTCGAAAAACAATGTGACAAAAATAACAAAAAAAACATTAACTGCAATGAATAGAAGATGACTCGTTTCGCTCTTCACCAGATGGGCTACCATTTTCACATTACTTTGTGGCTCATCAGTGGTTTGGGGTTTGTGGACAAAGGAATGGGTTAAAATGCCACACATGTCGTGTCATGCATGGTGAAAAGTTATGATATGTAATGTAGCGGTAATGTGCAAAGCAACAATATTCGCCTGTACTGTCCTATTGCGATTCCTTTTTTTCTACGCTGCTCTTGTTTAAATAGCCTCCACGTGACTTGGCACAACGTAGATTTCGATTGGCAGGTCATGTCTTGCGTATACCGCAGCAGCAGATCCCAAAAATTATCATATATCGGACACTTCTTCAAGAAAAACTAGTAATAGTCGGTTTCAGAAGTACCTTCCTAGTGGAGGACAAGAGCTCAAAATCATGAATGTTCTTGGGGATGAAAGAGCAGTTATTGCACAACACTGGTAACGTTGGAAGAGTTCATCGCCCGATATGCACTACAGCATGAGAGAAACAGATAAGTTGAAGTTCTGGTGGGACGCCAATGAATCCAAATGAAACTTGGATGCGTCGTTAGTCCGTCAAAAGAAGACCGAACGCTCGTTGGTTATCACTCAAATCATCTCTGATTGCGTTCAGGCCCCGAAGGAAACTACATTGAAACATAAGGTCGTTAAATTAGTGTTCCACGTTGAGGCTTGACACAGGATCAGAATATTGGCAGCCCAAACAAACAGGCCGAGGTCAAAGCAAGGAAGAAGTTGCAACGACTTGGAAGTAGTTTCCAGCTATTTTACGTAGTAATGGCGTTGTCACGAGATATGACAAATTCTGAGCGATGGGATTTGAGGTAAAATGATTGCCTGAAGGTGCACTTCCCTCTGAATCTGAGATACCTACTTCGAGTGGAACAGTAGAAGCGATGATACAGAATTGCAAAAAGATGGCGAAGAAAGAGCAAAAATCAGCGATTTTCAGAAAACTATGCTTCAAAACCAAAATCTGCCTCTCACTGTCGCCATCGGTTGGGTTGCATCCAATCAAAATTTTACGCTGCTGCAACCACCGTATTATAACCACTTGCTATAACACTCTCCTTGAGAACCGCATCGCCATAGTAATTCTACAGAAGATACTGATTTGATTAGGAATTTCACTTGTCCATGTACATTAGTCACTTTATATAACTGCGTCATGACCTTAGTCACTTCCAATTTTCTCGGAAATCAGCCAAAATATACTATTCAAACGCTCCATCGTTCTTTGACGCCTATCGAGATAGAAAGCTAATAGAAGAGAGCGCCTCATTGTATTTCGAAAGGTGGCCATACAAAAGTCGTTGGGAATAAGTGTTGGACGATTCACTTTAATGCCCAATAAAGCTTGTCCGTGACATCAAAATCATCTGGCGACATGGCAGGATGTACCGATGAGTGGTCACCAGTCTTCACAACCCGCGACACCCTTCTGGCAGACTATAGAAGGACAGCAGAGCTAGTCACATCCTTCTGGAGACGTTGGTTACAAGAGTATTTCACCGCATTACGTGAGCAACATCGCACCGAGCATACCACACCCCGTTCTCACGAAAAGGAACGTCCTCGCCAAGGAGTCTCCGTACCAGTGACCATCTTCTGCTTCATCGTGGGCAATGGAGAATGGGAGAGTCATCGGGTTGCAGGACAATTTCAGAAGATTTGTGGAAATCGAATTCCCGAACAGAAGGATCATCACTCGTCCGCTCAATCTCGTCTACAAATTGAAAGTCCCACCTGCCTTTCCACCACCCAATCCACCACCCTCAGCAGCAAATACACTGCATACAATGATCACGAGATCGAAAGCACGGCTTCTCAACAACGCCAACCTTCTGTGCCTAAAGATTCTAACCATACAAGGGACATCACCAGCTCATACACGCTGCCATGAAGAAATCAGCATGATTAAGACCATACTTTTTGCATTCCGAAAGGAATCGCCATAGCACGCACGGTACGAGCAACCTAACAAGAACGTTTTGTTGGTTTCCGATCATTCGTCTATTTGGCGCAATACGGTTCAATGCGTCCAAACCAACGGTCTCAACGCTATGTGGCAAGAAGTGCAAATGCCCAGATTGAACAGATCCATGTTCCTTTTCGAGCAGTTCAAGGGCGACAACATCTCATGTAGACCTCATGCCACCCTCTGTCAAGAACCATGATACAAACACGTATACGTGTGCTAATTCAACTTTAGTTCTTCGTGCTATTCAGTGAAAAGGATAGGAGTTTTCAATCAAATCAATCATTTTCTCGATGGCAACGTACTACTCGTGGAGAAACTCACCACCACGATAAAGGACTACATCGAAAAAACGACTTTGTGTGCATAGAGCGGAAAGGATGGGAGAGGCGCATGGCAAGACGGTCGACCGGCACGTCTCGTTCCTGCCAAAATCAAAACCGACTGTCGAGACAATACACAAGTGTTTTGCACGTACGACAACCCTCTCGCGCTCTCAGTCATAGATGACACATCCTCTATACAAAGAGGAGCCGTACCAATAAAGGCGTGGAGATCGATCACCAAAGCGTACTATGAGTCCAGGAAGGATGAGCGGATCGGAAAATCGTTGTTCAAGTAGAATGAAAGGATTGAAAATTGTTGAACACAGTGAAAAGGAGTATTGCAACGCCAACTTTTGGTCTGACCCCTCCTCTCATTTCAGTGCAGTGCATCAAGGGAAGAGTCTCAATGGACAACCTTTCCCACAACGATATTACAGAGATATGTGTCAGCCAATATTGCGTTTTTATTCGCAACATTTCTTCTCAGGACATACTATTCCCGAAATCGATCATAATGTATGATTACTTAGTCTCCATCAAGACATGGAACAATGGCACGATCACAGATGAGTCTACAGTTTCATACAAAGCTCATCCGATATGCGAAACACTACGTTGCACCTTCTGCTGGGAACACATGTGCAATGTGCAGTGCTGGACCAACACCCGGATGTTGATAATTGCACTTTCCCTCTTCCTCACTTTCCTCATTCTACCGGGAAGTTGTTTCATCGGCAAAATAGTCTTCATGCTCACGGCTCCACTTCTCTCTATGCTAGCGTTGATAAACCTCTCCAAGTTATTTTACAAAAGATCGGTGCCTTACCGGGCTCAACTCCGCACATACACCAATCGCAGAAGACGGGTCCACAAACGCTGATTCTTGACGTGCGTCATCTCAATCCTAATTCACCTTCATTGCAGCAAAGGATGTTTACAAGTTTCTTCACTAACTGGACATGAAACGAAAAGTGTCACTACCGGAAATGCCGAAACATGTACGTTCAAAGGGGCTACCCTTCTCACTCTCCAACCCCTTCAACAGGCGACCTGCTTGACACCGAAGGATAAGAGGAATAGTGCTGTGGGTGTGATCTCCATGAAAACCAACGGAATCAACTTAGGATGCCACAAAAATGTGGAATTCTTCACCTGTGACCACAACGTAGTCTCAGAATCTCGTCTACCAGCAAGGTAGCTGTGTCGAGACGAGTCGAGCAATGTAGGAGTGCTACATTGAGTAACCAACTCCGCAAGCTTCAATTCTAAAAAGACGACCTTGCTTTCAACTTGTTGTTGTTGTTCAACGATTTATATTAAAACAGTTTGAGCTGAAGAAACATTCCCTACTATCGAATCAAATGATCATCTCCTTTGTCTTGATATTGGAGAGCAATCAAGGAGTTTCTGAGAAACAGCATAACCTGTCCACCACATTTAACGAAAAATATGAATTTCTGAACCAAGTACAGATTCCATCGCTGAAGAAAAACTTTCCGCAAGTAGTCATGCAGAACCTACAAATCACACTTTTAGTTTAGCCTTCTCATAGCTTTCGCTTTCCTTCGATTGTGGTTTTTGTGAACATTGTTCAAACAAGAAACTTTCCATTTTTATCTTAGCCTATGTTCACACCTACTAGTTTCGACTACATATACGAATCTTTCAGCAAAGGACGTGTTTGTAAGATTCACTGCTGTAGAATCCAAGAATCCAGTGCCATCCTGTCCATTAATACCGCTCACGGGCATGGTCAGTTTTTCTGGAAAATTTTTGCAGAAGCTTTGTTTTTTCAACATTAGTCCGTGCGTTTATTGAGAATGTGCAGTGGGAAGTTGAATTTTTGCGACCAAGACCGTCTGAATGAAAGTAACTCGCAGAACTCATAATCGGTAGCATCATAACGTGATTCCATCATCATAAGCAGGAGGGAGACAACAACTACTTCCACTGGATACTGACATATGGGGACAGCAGATTTCGTTCGTTTTAATGACAGGACCTGGTGAGTCCGGGTTATTGTCATTCTTGGAGGGCTTTTACCTGTGAGCTGCCAGAACACCACAGGCCGTGAAGAATTCACTCAACTTCTTGTATTCCCTTCTGTTTCGACCTGTCATATCTGCTAGAAACCGATGACTCTATCACTTATCACTTTCCGCTTTTATGGACACCAAGTCATCATGTAGGTGGACCAAAAAATGCGTTCAGATGATACGAAATAGCAGTTCTTCGACTGCTTGCGCGTATTCGAGGGTTTCGAACAGTAAATAGTGAGGTTTTTCCCATGGCGATTTCTCAGTATAGGTTTGTGAGGTCGTCAAAGTCGACGTAATGGAGATATTGTCACCTTCGGAGAGCTTTTCACTTTCAACCTGCTTTTTTTTTACTCTGTTGTGCGACGAGGGTGGAAAAAAAGATAAAAGCAGGGACCGGAATGAATCATATTTATACATTGCAAATTAAACGAGACATAAACAAGTTGCAAAATAAACAAAATTAAAATAAACAACATGTTTTTCAACAGAGATCCGCTGTAGGCTCAGATTACACTGTAATATTATTTTGGGTATATAAAAACGGAATAGATATTCTAGTTCATCAATTAGAGGGCTATCCATCAGCAATGGGGTCAACTACAGTTAGCTGCTTACGTATTAGGAGGTGACAAATCGACCACAGGAAATAGATTGGGACATGCCATCCGCCTTCCCATTCGGCCGACGTATGCGCCCGCCTGGCCAAGCCAGCTATTTCAGCTATGTCAGCCAATTGAGTCACGTTGGTTAAGGCTATTTTATGTATTCTTTCTGTTTCCGCTCACTAAAAAATGGGACAAATAGCATGAAACTAGCCCAACAATGGTTCACAGGTACGCAACCGTACCATGAGATTGCATCAAGACCTGTAGGGCTGGCCATCGTTAGAGCACTTCGTATGTAAGCTTATGCAGCCGCTCTCGAAACCTGGGCGTTTTGTCAAAAGTCGATGTATTTTCTTTCATTCATTTCTGTCTTTCAGCAAACAGTAGAGGAAATAAAAGGAAACATCTTTTTGGTAGTAAGATTATTAAAAAATTAATTCTGTGAGGGAAATCCACCGGAACTGTGAAAGCACGCCCCATGATGACGCCTCCCCATCCGCGACCTTCATAGTTCTCAGGAATACAAAAGAACTAACCATAAGCCAGCAGACTTACCATACAAGTGGTGCACCGGTAACATGTCACTTTGCACATGTCACTTGGCCCACAGGAAAATTGTTCCTTCTGCAGCTCTCGCTCGGGCAGTATACAAAATCATCTACACTCGAGCTCTACGATATGAATTGGTGAGTTGGTTTCGGATTTATTTTTTCTTTGAGTGATTTATTTGCGCTTATATAAATATTTGACTCTTCTTATGTTAGATCCTCTCTTTTGTATGAGTGAGAGTGAGTAATTCGAGTTCTCAGCCAGTGCGATCCAGCCTCAAGCAGGAGAAACTGAACAAGAAGAATGCGAATCGGTACCCAGGCTGCTCTCCAGCAGGTCTCTTTTTTGGTAGTTATTTACGCAGTCCTTACTTTGTTATGTTACCGTCGCTTAGCAAAAGGGACTAAATAGGGGAGATCAGGGCGAGGATCAGGAATTAAAAAAAATATTGACTCAAACAGAGTACACATAACCTAGAGGAATGAAGATGAAATAAAAGAAATATGAACCATTGACTGTTTAGAATAGCGATTTTCAACCCTCGTTGAATTTTTGTTCAGGAGCAGAACCGTTGTCAAAGGAGATTTCATCTGGAAACAGTTATGATTAGTCTCGAGCATTTGGAAAATAAAAACATATTCTCAGAAAACTGAAGCATCTCGAATTCCATATTTGCTTCGAAACTTCCATAGGCTAGCTGGAAAAGGGGGGTTGTCCAGAGCTTTCGCTGAAAATTTTGGAGAGGTGGTGGTGCCCTTTAAATGGGGTTTTTAGAAAATTTTGTTTTGACTAAAGTCAATACCAAAAATTGGCAAAAGCTTCCCAAATAGCCCATAAATCTTCCGAAATTCATCGAGCCAAGTTGGAAGAGTCGTCAAATAGGTTAATGAAGTTTCTTTATCGTTTTCACAATCCACCATTCTAATAGGACTGCTCGGCAATGAAAGGGAGAACTTGCGTATTGGTTATAAGGGCAAAGTCTACGTTAGATAGAATTCTAGAGTAAAACTTGTCTTGGAACATTGTAAAAAATATTGCCTTCAAGAATAAGACACCATCCAATTCTCGCAATAGCAGTTGAAGCCTTTTCTCATTTCTTCGTTGTAGTGATGCCTTGAGATCAATTTACACGAGCTGCAAATTAAAGATTCGTTATGTAAACATACATAATTGAGTAGAAGCAAATAAAAATCTACTGGAAGAGTGATGGGAACATGCAGTTGAAAGCGCATGCGTAAGTAGATAAAAATTTAATGTTTTGATCGCACCTTTGTTGCCATATTTTTTGAGGGTGCATGCTCCACATGAAAATGGGCATATTATATACTTGATTTCTTCAAGGTCTTGACAGTATGAAAACAAAGACCAGAATGGACATCTCCAATTATTATCCTGGCATGGATCCTGCAAATGCAGCCTTGAGGCAGAAAAAATTGAGGCCCTGAAAAATTGGGATGGCAAATCTTATCAATCGAACAGATAATTTTGACTGCTGAACTGCAGAAAGAAACGTTTATGGTCTTACCAGGAGTACCAGAGAGCACGTGAATTTTTCGCAACACATTTCACTATAGGGTAATGCGAGGAAAGTCCGTCGCGCGCGTTCCTCGAAAGTAGGTCACCCCGTACACTCCGTGTGTGACGCACCCCTCGGGGACGTTCGATTCGTGCGATTCTGGGTGCGCGCAGCAAATTGTGCGGCGAAGTTCGCGATGTTTCAAACAACTCTGGCGCCTATCATTGCTCGAAGTGGAGTACTTTAGTAGGGACGGACAATTCTAATAACTTTACTTTAAATTTGGGCCCCAATGACAATTGCTGCAGTAGTCTAAATCGCACCGAATTTAGCCGCGCAATTTGCCGCACGCATCCAGAATCGCACGAATCGCTTTACACCCTGAACCAAGCGCAAATCGTATGCTTACTGACAACCGCGACGTCCGTCAAGCATCGCCTGCTGCTGCGGCGTGACCTAGTTTCGACGGCCGCACGCAACGAAGCGTACCCGGGTAATGCCGTGCTGTTCGAACACTTAACACACACTAACATGGCACAGTGGTCCCGTCAGGAAAAGTATCGGCAAGGAACGGATAGGTGACAGTGGCTATACTTAGGTGCGGCTCTGGCGCGTAGTTGTTGCATAATTCTTCACCGCCACCGTAGTCAACATCAGCCAGTTGTCCCAATGCACTATCGGACTTCACTCCGACCGTTCTTCTAGCTTGCATTGTCGCACTTCATGTACCGTCACCTGTCACTATATTTGCTGTTTCTTTCTTTGGTGATATCGTAGCCAACTCCTCCGATGCAAAAAATGTTGGAAGTTCGACTTGTAGCCGATATGGGTGGAGCATGGTACTAATTGAGGTTGGGTGTCTTGGATGTCCTGAAGCTTGTGCAGGAACCGTACCGTCCGCAAATTTTAGCTATACTTGTGTATATTTATTTACCAGTTTGGCTATGCACGCTAACGCGCGCAGTATATGTCGACGGCCACTTATCCACAATGGAGTCATT